TTTTTTTTGCTTTTTTGTTTTTAGTAGAGATGATGTTGTCACACTATGTTGCCCTGAGTGTGAATACCAAGTCTTGACCTAAGACTAGGTAGATGGGCCAGGCGTGGTAGGTCATGCTTATAATCCCAGCATTTTGGGAAGCCAAGACAGGTGGATCACCTGAGGTCAGGAGTTCGAGACCAGCCTGACCAACATAGAGAAACCCCATCTCTACTAAAAATACAAAAATTAGCCAGGCATGATGGCACACGCCTATAATCCCAGATCCTTGGGAGGCTGAGGCAGGAGAATACTTGAACTCGGGAGGTGGAGGTTGCAGTGAGCCAAGATCATGCCACTGCACTCCAGCCTGGGCCACAGAGTGAGACTCCATCCCCCCCCCCAAAAAAAAAAAAAGAAGACGACTTGGCAGAATGTGACAGAAGTGAGTAATAATCCTGGGCTTAGGCCCAATAAGAATTGCTCACTTTGGGAACAGGCAGTGATGTAGCTTAAATGACATTAACATGTAATTCTCTCCTTTTCTTTTCCTCACTTAGATTTGGTTTCAGAATCGAAGAGCTAGGCAGAGATTCCAGAAAAGACCAGAAGCTGACACTTTAGAGTCAAGCCAGAGCCAGGGGCAAGATCAACCTGGTGTAGAGTTTCAAAGTAAATAAGCATCTCAGTTCTGTTCCCCAGCAGAGCTTCTCTACGGTGAAGCCAACTGCTACTTTGAAAAAAGAATGTCTCTTCCCTGACGACCTCCTATTCAGGGTCTTATGGTGGCAAAGGGTTCATCGTACCCTAGAAGTTCTCCCCTGCCCTCTTCCCAGGCCTTCTGAGTGTTTCTCTTGTCTATTTTCTATTTATTTATTTATTTATTTATTTATTTATTTATTTATTTATTTTTGAGACGGAGTCTCGCTCTGTCACCCAGGCTGGAGTGCAGTGGCATGATCTCAGCTCACTGCAACCTCCGCCTCCCGGGTTCAAGCAATTCTCCTGCCTCCACCTTCTGAGTAGCTGGGATTACAGGCACATGCCATCACGACTGGCTAATTATTTGTATTTTTAGTATAGACGGCGTTTCACCATGTTGGCCAGGCCGGTCTCGAACTCCTGACCTCATGATCTGCCCACCTTGACCTCCCAAAGTGCTGGGATTACAGGTGCGAACCACCGCGCCCAGCTCACAATGGTTTTTAATGGTTTTACAAAACAGAGGATCCCTGACTTCTTAGGATGGCATTCAGATGAGCTCAAGAAGTTGAAAAATCGCCATCGTGTGTTCAAGAGCTCCACCATTGTACAAGGGCAGTTCTCCCCGAGTGGGTTCCCATGGATTCGGGAAGAGGAAGTGAGAGACTAGCCTGAACCTGAAGTTCGAATATATAAATTAACCTATTACATGCTGCTTCTTTTGTAATCTTCCTACAGAGATGGTAACAACAAATCACAGGCGCAGTCGCACCAAATTCACAGAAGATCAATTGAAAATCCTCATCAATACCTTCAATCAAAAGCCTTACCCAGGTTACGCTACCAAACAAAAACTTGCTTTAGAAATCAATACAGAAGAGTCCAGAATCCAGGTAAGTTTAAGTTCGGTATCTCCAGGACTGGAAGTAGAAAGGCAGGAGGGAGAACCATTAACAGAGCCCGTACTATGTACCCATGTGCTGAGGGTTCGGTGGGGAGTCTCTCAACGGACCCTCAATAAACCCACAAAGGTGTTGGTTGATTGACCAGCTAATTTTTTTTTGTATTTTTAGTAGAGACGGAGTTTCACTATGTTGGCCAGGCTGGTCTTGAACTCCTGACCTCATGATCTGCTTGCCTCAGCCTCCCAAAGTGCTGGGATTACAGGGATGAGCCACCGCGCCCAGCAGGCTAACCTTTTTTTTTTTTTTTTTGCTTTTTTGTTTTTAGTAGAGATGATGTTGTCACACTATGTTGCCCTGAGTGTGAATACCAAGTCTTGACCTAAGACT